CAACTGGAATGCCTTCCCTTAACACAATACATCCCATTATCCTGTTCACTTTCCCAGTTTACCGCTAGGTATTCAGCAGACAGTTTAAGTTTCCCTCTCGCACTCTGAAGTTCTTTCTCTGATTAGTCCCTTGTAGTGCCAGACCTTTTAGAAACTAATACCTTTTGTTAATTGCTTGCCTTATCCTTATTACATGGTGTTTTTTTCTGCACTAAATGGTAGCCTGTGACCTCTGCTTAAGCAGATCTTTTCTTATCTGGTGTCTACGCAATCTGTAACCGGCCGTCCCTATCAGTTTCATGAGTTCAGCAGATTCCCTGTGTGGCAGGTTCATTTCTGAAGGCGTGTGACCTGTGGTACCATTGCTGGGGCTGTCATTATCCCTTTGCTGCTAACCAGACTGTGTCCCTTTACCCTCTGATCCATGTCACTTTGCAGACCGCTTTTTGGACATGCTGGTACTCTGTCACCTCATTATGAGACACCGTTTGGGTTTTTTTTTCAGTCCTCTAAGGATTTTCTTGCACCCTATTGTTATCCTGTTGTATTGCACAAGTGGTTTGATATACCACTTCTTCCCATTATAAAATCTCTGTTAAAGGCTTTGCAGGCTTTATGTTTGATTTCTGCTTGCTATTTCGTGCGTACAGGGAATAAAGCACTCTTTGGTCTGGATCTAGGTCTGCTGTAGAGCGGTCCCCCCTGAGATAAAGGAGCTGGGAGTGGGAGAAGTTCTGGTTTCCTTCATCTGACTTGCTGGCCAGCAGACAAGGGCTGTCATCACGAATTTCAGGGCTGAAGCTCTTTATTCCCAAGAGATGGCAGGGAGCAGGGAAGAAGTGACCCAGTTACCTCTGGAGCAAGCACAGCTGCCTGCTCTCCATTATGCAGAGCTCAGAGTGGATTCTCAGCCTGATCTCATATTTTAAGTTTTCCTGCTTCATAAATATGCAGCATTGTTTGTGTCTTATGCTTCAGTACCTCGTACTACAAGAGGTCACAAATTGTTATTTTTCTCTCTCTTGCTTGTATGTGTATTTCAATAAAGATGCCCATGTACATGGCTCGTGGCTGTGCAGGTGATGAGAGGTGTTTTCTTGTGTGTGAACTTGAGGATGGAGGTGTTTGAGAGCCAGAAGTTTAAATTCAGCCTGTTTCTGGGCAGCACAGATTTTGGTAGGGAGCAACTGGTCCCCGTGAGCATGATTGGGTGACTCTGTTTTTTTCAGGAATGGAATTTATGCAAGAGAGGCTGGGCAGAAAGTTGGAAGACATGGGTTTAGCTGCAGAGATACTTTTTATCCAACTCTATCTTACTAAACCTTTGACTTACCCTTTTACTCTTCGTTTTCACTCCTACAATGGGTTTGTCCTCTTTGTTTGGATCACAAGTGCTTGAGGGCAAGGACTGTTCAGCAGTAGTGGCAACATTGAACACAACCACTAAGGATTGATTCAGTTCACCTAGTAACTGATGGCAGTTAAAAGGAAACATCTGTGTCTTAATTTTAGTTTTGCCTAGTGATCAAACATCTGCATTGTTGCATACTGAGATATACTTAATTTTATTGCATTTTTGTGTTTGTGATCATATCCTTACTAGAGAATCCGAATAAACACTGACCTGAATCAAAGCCACCGTAAGTCAAAATGAAGATGAAGCAGCTCTACAGCCAGTTTTTGAAACTTAGAAGGAAAGATACGTTAATGTGTACTGAGAAAGATCTGTGAAACATGATGACTTCTTGTATTTTCCAGCATTTTAAAAGCAAAATTCGTTAATTATAGATTATTTATGGAAAGTAACCTGTATTGAGACTGGACTCCATAGTCTCCAGTTGCTATTAAGCAGTCCTATACGCAGTTGGTTAGAAACTTAGTGAGTGACTTAAAGTCCAGAAACACAGAATCATAAAATCATAGAAGATCCTGAGTTGTAAGGTACCCATGAGGATTGTTCAGTCCAACTCCTGATTCTACACAGGGCAACCTAAAATTAAATCAATATCCAGATCCCAAGCAGCATGAGAATTGCTGTATGCAGGCAGGTACATTCATGTAGTGTATTGCAAACTCCCTGAGTCTCTGGTGTGGTTTTAGCTCTGATTTGTAAAAAAATCTTCATTAGTATTTTGTATTTTGTAGTGAAGAAAAACATCTGTGTTCTTCCATATTTAATAAAATAAATAATTGTTTCTAAACATTTTCAAAGACAGGCTATGGAAGAAGCTCAAAATGGGTCTAGTGAGGTGCCGTGAACATGGAAGAGCAGGAGCGGGGTTAGACTGTACTGTCACCTTCAGTTACTGTTGACATTCACTTTAATTTTTGCTGGGAAGAGGGAAGTGAGTTCAGGAAAAAAACCAAACCTGTTAATAAGAACGTTGCTGAAATCTTTTAAAAATGGCCTTTTAGAACCGGCGGTACCATAGGTTATAAAGAGTTTGCAGCCAGCTAATCCATTTCAGAATGGCCTAAATTCATTGCTAAGCTGTCTGGCTGCTGTTTGCAAAGACATGAGTGAAGGCATTGACCTCGGTACTGTAACCTTGGTGAAAGGAAACCTGAAACAGAGGATGGGTGAGGGCATTGCTGTGGCTACCAGAACTTTTCTTGAAATTGTAAGAGGAGCCAAGTGCCTCATCCTTTTCTATAGCAAAGGCAGTGTACTGTTATTACCTTTAAAACAGTGGAGTTACAGGTGTCTGGCTTGTGTTGATTTGAGAAATCAGGTTAAAGCTGTTTTGCTTTCTGGATCATTTGCAGCAGGAGTGGCAGCAGGCGGTGTCTGAGCTGTCTCGCCTGCACTGCCGTCACTGCTGTCTCTTGTCACGCTCCCCCGAGTCAGTCCATCACACTAATGAAGTACAATAGTCTCGTAGTTTGTGCCCGTGAAGCTCGTGACTGGTGCTGGAGTTTCACAGCAACACCATCACAACCCTCTGAGCTCTTCGAGTATGATTTTTTCCTTTGCTGTAGCCAAGCAGTGAGACCACAGGGGAGGCTCAGGGATTACACGTAGAATTGTAAATACAAATTAGTACACTATGTGACTGCATTATGATCATATAATGTCAAAATGTGGGTTATATAGCGTTTAGCCTTGAAAAGGAGACAGCCTGGCGAGCGGAGGGAAAGGCTATGTTAGAGTGAAAGCCCTTTCACTTTTCCTGCCTATTAATTTACGTTCCTTCAGAGCATTGCTATTTAGCAAAGTGCCTTCTGCGTTTCTGCCAAGCTGAAGTAGCTGCTGGGAAAAACTAAGTAGGCCAAATCCTGCAGATATCTGGAAAGCTCCACCAGAGTGGCTGATGATGATCCAAAAGAGTGCAGGGACAGATTTGGCCTCACACAGACAACACAACAGTATTGAACAAAATGAAACATTGCCATAAGGTTTTAATCCCAAAAGTCAGTTGCTGCAAGATAATGCATATATAAGAAATTTTACAAATTTCATAATTTTGATTCAATATGCAGAACCTGGGATCTTCAGATCTGCTCTCTGGGTCTCAGGCCATGTCAGCCAGGGGCTATTTAAAGTTACAGACCATGTCTGCATGGCCCAGGACAGTGGTGTACTTACCATATAGATTCCTGAAGTCAGAGCTTCTCAGTGGTCCTTATAGAAATGCTTGTCCTGTTCCCAGTAGTCTACACTGGACAGACAGTGTTTTGTTTCATATCCACTACAAAATATAAAGACATTTTTTGTAAGTAATAAACCGAAGGGAAACGTTCTGAAACTCAGGGGAATTCTGGATTTCTGCTTTAGGTGATGGGCATTTCTGTAAGATCAACAATCAGCGGTTTCTGGCTTCTCAACGTGAAATACTTTTAAACTTGATCAAAATTGCATATAGATGCTTTTGAAGCATTGACGCTTTTTGTTTTTGAAAAAGAATAAAGAGCCTTCACCCCCTCTTTATATACTGTTTATAACAGTTCATCCATAGTGACCTGTTAGGAACTTAAAAAAAATTCATAGCAGCTTCACTAAGCCATAAAACTTACACTTTATTCTACACAAATAAGGCCTTTTCCAAACAAATTAAAATAGCAATATTTCAGGTTTTAAACAATAGCTTGTGTTTTGAAGGAGATTGGAAGGTATTGAACTTTCTGTGAAATGATTCGGCATCGACTGTTGAGGTCGATGGAGACTCACCCTTCAATATACATGCAGATTGAATCAGTTCAATAGATTTTAATATGATTCAGTACAAACTATTCTACAGCCTGTGTAGCAGAGTGAACTTACTGTGCTTCTTGTGCATGGTGCTACACAAGCTGTGTTGCTTTCACAGCCCTCCCTCAGCAGCATCAGAAGCTGTGGAGACCTGTTTTCACTTTCACACCACTGACCAATTTCTGTTTGCTGAAGGAGAGAAAAAGCTGTTTCTTTGCTGCTTTGTAACCAAGTAGGCAATGGCTGTGTAAAGGATGGTGAGCGATGGAGGGGGGGAGAGTGTTTTGGCTTCTGTGAAGCCTGCAGGGAAAAAAAAAAGATCTGCATTGTGAAAAAGGGAGGTGCAATCCTGTTCCTATCCCAGCACTTTGCTCCAGGTTTAGCCAGTTTATTCTCCAAGCCATCAGTCCCCTTTCCGATGCACAAGCCACATTACTACCTTCATACAAATTTAGTCCAAAGCAAGTAAGAGTTACAGATTTTAATCCTCTGGAGTATTCACATGGTAACTGGGCAAGCAAGTATTGCTTTAAATAGCTCAACACATTGCTATTATTCCAGTGATATGCAGTCCAACTCCATATGAGCAATCAGGGGAGAGATTTTTGGCTGCCAGATATCTCACTGACCACCTTTGGGAGAGACATGCGCTTACAGCATCTCCTTCTGACATCAGGGCTGTGCCCTCCTGCAGCAGGGACTGCCTGGACTAGTGGGATGGCTAGAGGGGTTTCCCAGCTACCTCAGGTCGTATTTTTAATTTGTGGGCAGGCAGTTTGCAGGTTTTCCTTCTTTAAGCCTTTTTCCCCAGGTTCCCAGCACCACCCTGCAGTGGCTATGGCAGGTGGCCTCACCTGATGCAGAGACAGCCATCGCTGGCCCGTGTTGCGTCCAGTCCCTCTGGGACCCTGCCGGCGGTGGCCTGCCCTGTGGACGTGACAATATTTCGGCTTCTGCAGGACTCTATTTTTACGTGGCGGCAGCAGCGAGGTGTTGGCTCACATCCCGCCTGTGCGTGGGTGCTGCAGGAGTCATCTGAGCCCGGGGGGCGTTGGTGTTGGAGCGGCTGGCCGGG